CATAAAATGTTAAGAAAGTCCAAAGGGCACTTAGAGAATATGGACTTCACCACAGCACGGCTGGAAACAGTGGTATTTGAAAGAGGAAAAGAGGCATCTTCTCTAAGTTCTACTTTTGTTTCAAGTTACACAACAAGAAATATAAATACATAACAAGAAATATAAATAAATCCAATAGTTTATATCTTCACAGAAATGCCTTAATCATGATCCAAAAATGATGACATCGGCATTTATTGAGACAATATAAAAACAAGAAACGTTTCTAAGCCCTCTACAAAACTGCTTATTATGTTAAATGATGTGTTTTTTACAAGATTGTGACAAACTCATTGAATTTATTGCCAAGGAGAAAAAAAAATTTATCTCATGACTAAGGAATATGCTTCTTATTATCAGATTATGTAAGTTATGTAGCACTTTTATTTATTTATTTATTTTTTGCCTTGGCCTCTAGAAAGCTTCAAGTAAGCCAAGCCTCAACAGCATGATAATAATCCCATCACTGATTTTTGGAAATATAATTTTCCCCTTTTTTCCTACATGCCTTTTAACCCCATTCATTTTTATTATATCCATGATGCCCTCCTGTGCCAAGCACTGGGCCTGGAACATTGAAGAGTCTTAATAACTGTTTCATCATCCCATCATCATCATCATCATCATCATCATCATTATCATCATCATGTTATTAAATACGGCAACCAGCATTTGCTCAGCACTTAGGTTATATGCCTTGACTGAGATCAAAAGATCTCAAAAACAATCTGTGGGAGAGCCAGGAGTGAGGCTGAGCCACCTGTGCCACGCATACAAATACTTGGTCATTCAGCTTTCACAGTCCCTTTTTTAATGAACAGGAATAAATTATAAATGAAAACCTCCTGAGTTAATTCCTTCTTCCACCTCTCTCCCATTAGACTGTCAGCTCCTTGAAGGCAGGCAGGCCCCATCACTCATGCTTCTCTACAGACCCCACTCCACATTTAGCACAATGTCTTGTACACAACAAAGACCTAATAAAGGTCTGCTGACTAAGAAAGCAAAGAACCGATTATAACAGGTAGAGACTGAGGGGAAGAGAGAAAGAACACTGGTCTGCTAACCGACTGGCTTGTTGCCTGCTTATTTTCTCTTGTCAGTCCAGAGGTCCAGGACCTGGGGCAGCCACTCTGCACAGTCCCTTGTGATCCAAGGTCAGGATCTGCCCTGGGTTGGTTCATCCTTGGTCAGGGTGGAATTAGATAGAGGCAAGCAGGCAAGTCCCTAAGATTGGCAGGCTGGGCAGAGGGAGGTCTGTGAACCTAGACTTGTCCCACACTAGAGTCCCCATGCACTGAGCAAGCTCTGTTCCTTCCAGTACCCACCCCCAACCTGCCCCTCTTCCCACCTCCCATCCCCCACCCCTTAGACAGAAACCCCAGCCACCCTTCTCCCCCAGGACAGCAGGGGGCGCCTCAGCGCCACTCCTCCCCCTGGGTCCTGCAGCAGCACTTCTTCAGTGTCTGGCCAGGGGTGAAAACCAAAGAGACAAGGGGGTAAAGCAGAGGAATCCATCCAGAAGAGAAGCTGGTCCTGACCCCCTTCTCCGGCTGCTCCCCAGCTGGCCTCTCTCTGGGAGCCTGAGTCCAGGAAGCAGGAAGTGCTGGTCCTGAGGACAGACATGGGCCCTGCTGGCTTTGTCTTCATGCTGTTCCTTCTGGGGATCTCAGGTGAACCCCTGGGGTGGGGAGGTCCTAAGCAGGGACAGGAGCTTCAGCCCAGAAAAGGCTGCACAGGGCATGGGGGTGGGCCCTCCATAGCAGCAAGGACCATCAAGAGTTCCTCCCACATTCCCCCTTTTCTCTCCCTAGGTGCAGATGAGGAAGAACCAGAGAGTCTCGTGGAGTCAAGTAACGTGTCCCAGTCAGGGCCAGCATGGGTGGTTGGACCAGGGGAGGGGAATCTGTGCCAAGGAGGAAAAACGACACCAGTTTGGGAACTACCAGGGAGGGATCAGGGGAGGGGACAGGATTCCAGGGCAGGTCCCCCATGCCTTTCTCCCCTTCGTTGGCAGTCTGTGGGCGGCCTGCAGTTTCATCCCGTATCGCCTCAGGCCGGGAGGCCAACGTGGGGCAGTGGCCCTGGCAGGTCAGCATCCGCCAGGGTTTGTTTCACATCTGCTCAGCCACCCTCATCTCGGAGCAGTGGGTGCTGACGGTGGCAAGCTGCTTCCGGTGAGTGCTGGCCTTGCTTTGGGGAGACCCATCAGGGCACTTGGGTGACTGGAGCTCCTGGGCTGAGGTGGAGGATGGATTTATCTTGCACCACCCAGTACAGTACATTTTACCTTATAAGTGGGTCCAAATATTTCCTACCCTAGTTCGCAGTTACTCTTAGACTTTGGTTGTCTTCACATTTCATAATCTTCTTGCGTGAAATGAGTACACTCAAAGTTACATGCTCCCACTCTCGCCCCAAATCTTAGTCTCAACAGAGGAGACATTCCCCCAGGAGGGCCCCTTCCCTAGCAGCATGTCTGCATCTTCACACCATTTTCTTTTCTTTTTTTATTTTTATTTTTGTCTTTTTCCGTGTCCGGCAACGGATCGCAACCCTCAGTGTTGCCCCCGTACTGGACCGGGGACCGGCAACGGGATCGCAACCCTTGGCGTTGCTCCCGCGCCTCGCTCAGCCAGTGAGCGGGAACCGGTCTGCATGTGGGATCCGAACCCTCGGGCGGGAGCGCCGCCGCGCTTCCCAAGCGGCACACTATCCAGTGCGCCACCGGGCTGGCCCCTTCACACCATTTTCTTTGGGTGTACAGTCCTGAGCCCTCTTTGCTCTCCCAGGTGGACTCATTCATTTCTCATGGTTTAAATGCCATCTATCTGCTGATAACACCCACACTTGTATCTCTATCCCCAAACACTAGTCCTTAAAGCATTTCAACTTGGATGTCTGACTGACTACTCAAAGGTAAAACGGTCTAACCAGAACTACAATTTTACCACCACCACTCTTCCCCAATCTGTTTCTCTCTCTGTCTTCCCATCTCATTCAACAACATAACCAGTTGCTCAGCCAGAAATATAACTCACTTTCCCTCACCCTCCATATCCAATGCATATACCAGTCCTGTCAGTTTTACTTGCAAAATATACTCTAACATAGCTGCCCCTAGACTACTGCAATAGTATAATAGGTTTTGTTACTTTCAATACACACAAGTGACTTTTTAAAGTTAGAAGTAAGATCATATCACTCCCCCACATCAAATCTTCCAGTGACTGCCCAGGCACTTAGAATAAAACCCAGAAGCTTCATTGTGGCCTATAAGTCATGAATCACCAGGTATCTCCTCACTTTTCCAATCTCATCCCATCCTACTCCAGCTTTTCTTTCAGTTCCTAGAAACTGCTAAGCTCTTTCTCACCCTCAAGGCCTTTGCAAACTATTCCCTCTTTCTGGAATGCTTTTCCTTACAGCTTTTCTCATGGCTGACTCCTACCTTTTGGGATTCAGTTGAAAAGTTACCTCATCAATAAGACCTTTCCTAACCACCCATTCCAAAGGCTGTGCCCCCTTCCTTTACTCTCTATCACAATATTAAGTTTCATGCTTGTTTACTTGTTTGTTGCTTGTGTCCCTCTTTCTCCTCCCCCTTCCCCTTACACACTCACACACACAGACACACGGCCCTTAAGAGACCATATCCTGCAAGGGCCAGATGATGTCTATCTTAGTCTCATTTATATTCTAGGGAGATGCTCAATATTTGTTAAAGGTATGAATGCTTAGGAAGAGCTAGAGGGAAAAGGTAACATCCAGAATAAGGGTCTTTGCTGTGATACTCCATAGCAGAGTCACAAGAAACCCATGGTACCTGTTCTGCTTCTCTTCTTCTCAGGTCTAAGGATGCCAGAAAATACAATGTATTGCTGGGGTCACTTCAGATCTTTGGTCACTCGGGCTCCAAAATGACAGTAATACCAGTGTCTCGGATCATCCCCCACCCTGACTTCCAGGGAAACGTGTCTGGTGCCATCGCTGTGGTAGAACTGGCCTACCCGGTTTCTTTTAGCCCTACTGTCCTGCCCATCTGCCTCCCCTCATCTGACGTCCAACTGAAGAACACAACCTCCTGCTGGGTGATTGGATGGGGCTATTCTGGAATATACCAATGTGAGGATAAGTAGATTTTCTGAGCTCCATTTCTTCAACTAACATTCCCTCCCTGTTACTCTCTATCCCGCCCTTAGAGCACCAGATATGTTGCAGTCTCTAGGCAATTAATATGAGGTACTGCAGACTTCAAATTCTCCTTGACCCTTTGCCTCCTTCATATTTCTTCTGCTATAATCTCTTTGCTCATTTATACCTGCTTTTGTTCTTGTTTAGCATTAGTGCTAAGACCTTAAAAGCGAAAAAGGCAGGGTAATGAATTGACATCAGACAGTTCTGCTCAGTCTGAGAGGTCATATAGTTTTCCCTCTGCACCTGTGTGCAATGTGTTGGGTAGGTGGGTAGGCGAAGCAGACATGAAAATGTGTTCAGAAAAGTAAGGCCACTCTGCAAAAGTCCCTAGGTCAGACTAGTTAGGAGAGAAGAGCTTCATTTCTGTGTTAATGATCTTGATTCTTCTCAGCATATTAGATCCACCCCTTATTTCTATGTAAGAATAATATTCCAAAGACTGAGAATTTAATCCTGCATCATTCATTGTTTTGGGTCTTCCTGAGTCACAAGATTTTTCTGTCAATAATTTGTGCCATCTGAACAGGAGCAACTGCCTTCAGCCTTATTCACAGCAAGGGAGCTCAGCATTTAGAAAGAAAAATTCCCAAACCAGAAATCAGGATGCTATCTTCATGGGGGCAGAATATTTGAAATCAGGGCTATCTTGGAAAATCAGAGGCATGGCATCTGTGTATCCATAGCTGAAAATTGCTTCCTAATTCTTTAAGACAGCTTTGAGTTTTTTTGGCTCTACAGATATCAAGCGACTGTATATACTGAAGGAGCTGAAAGTGTCCCTCACTGATCTCCAGACATGCAGTGACTACTATCAAAATGAAAGCTTGTTGCGTGGGATTGAGCCCATTGTCAGTGAAGCCATGATCTGCTCCAAGCTCCCCGTGGAACAGATGGATCAGTGCATCGTAAGAATCCATGCCTTAGGCACCTTTCACAGCCCTCCCCTTCCCCAATGTGCTTCCTCTGCATCCCCAGTGTCCCTGATGACCCCAGGAGTGCCTGGACAGGCCTAACTCTAGAGTTCTTGGCTAAACTTTGGTTTTTTGTTTTTTGTTTGTTTTTTTTTTTGTTTTTCTGACTGGTAAGGAACAGGCCTAACTCTAGAGTTCTTGGCTAAACTTTGGTTTTTTGTTTTTTGTTTGTTTTTTTTGTTTTTCTGACCGGTAAGGGGATCGCAACCCTCAGCAGGGTGTGGTCTGCACCACGCTCAGCCAGTGAGCACACCGGCCATCCCTATATAGGATCCGAACCCGGGGCCCTACCAGCGCCACACTCTCCCGAGTGAGCCACTGGGCTGGCCCTTGGCTAAACTATTGAAGAGTCTCACCTCTTTCCCTTTGCCCCATGCACCACCTAGCCAACTTTCCTCTCTTCCCCAGGGCAGTAGAGGAGACCCTCTGATGTGTCTAGTCAAGGATTTCTGGGTCCTGGCAGGAGTGGTGAGCTGGGGATCAAACTGCATCCGAACCAATGAGCCTGGAGTATATACGAACATCAGTTTCTACAAATCTTGGATTGAGAAGTCAGCCATCTCACTTACTGGGCTTCCTGCTGCTCCCCATCTGGGCCTCTCTGGGCTCCTTCCTGTGATGCTTCTGCCTCTGATCTTCTTGGTGCTGCCCTGACTGGCTAAGGTCAGTATGGCTGGGGTGAAGTGACAATTGAGAACAAGACAGAAAGGGGAAATCCTAGAAGTTAAGGATTGCAAAGAGAAATTTTGAAGAGCCAGCAGGATAGATGCAGTTCCACTACCTGATAAGCCTCGTCTGCATGTCACCTTTCCCCTCAGGTCAGTCTGGAAAGCAAGATCTCCAGAGTGAATAAAATTTGGTTGATTCTAACAATTAGTTCTCATATTCATTCTTTTGATAAAACTAGAGACAGGGCCTGGGGAAATACAAAAGCACAGACCTTTAGGGCTGAAAGGAATCTGAAAATCACCTGGCCCACCCAATCCCACATTCTGTAGACAAAAGGTTACTTTGCCCTTGGCTGAATACAAGATGAAAACCATCCAACCTGGGACTAGAGTGGATTCTGAAGAAAAAGTAGAGACTTGGAATATTGGAAGGTTCAGGCGAAGCAGGCCAGGCCAGAGGAGCCTAGGCAGCGTATTGGTTATCTACTGCTATATAACAAATCACCCCAAAACTTAGTAGCCAAAAGCAACAAACAATTATTATCTCATAGTTTCTGTGGATCAGTAATCAGGGAAGACTTAGCTGATAGTTATGGCTCAGAGTCCTTCACAAGGTGCTGCTGTGTTAGCCATAGCTGCAGTCATCTCAAGGCTCATCTCCAAACTCACATCTGTTGGCAGGTCTCAGAGTATCTGCTTCTTGCAGGCCTCTCTGCAGGACTGCCTCATGGTAACTGGCTTCCCCAGAGTGGGTGATCCAAGACAGAGTGAGAAAGAGCACCCAAGACAGAAGCCACAGTTTTTATAACCTAATCTCAAAACTGACATCTCATTACTTCCTGTTCTATCCTCTTCTTTTTTTTTTTCCCCCTTTTTTTGTCTTTTTTTGTGACCGGCAACGGATCGCAACCCTCAGTGTTGCCCCCGTACCAGACCGGGACCGGCAACGGGATCGCAACCCTCGGTGTTGCCCCCGCACCTCGCTCAGCCAGTGAGCGGCCGGTCTGTATGTGGGATCCGAACCCTCGGCGGGAGCACCACCGCACTTCCCAAGCGGCGCACTGTAGCAGTGCGCTTACCGGGCCGGCCCCTCTATCCTCTTCTTTAGCAGTGAGTCAACAAGGTGGGAGTATCAGGAGGCAAAGATCACTGGGGGCCATCTTCAAGGCTGCCTTCACAGGTAGAAAGAAAGGGAAGGGTCTAGCTTAAGGCGCTGGGAAGCTAAGGTTGACTGTGTTTAGCAGTCACGGATGAAACAGAGGCAGGCAGGGGAGAATTCCTTCTGAGTCGCCCATTACCCCACCCACTGAAAGCACTTTGTTATTGTGCTCACAAGGGCTGAAGCCAACGCTTGCTACACATGTGCTAGAGAAATCAATCGTTCTTTAGAGACTATTTTATATGGCAATTTAATCGTTTTCCAATATAATAGATTGATCTGATGGAATTAGATTAAAATAGAAAGGAGACAATGGAGTCCATTTGGCCTTCCTGAAAATACAGATAGAAAGTTATAAAACTTGCAGATCTACTGTTGTTTTATTCTCAGGGTGCTCAAGAGAAAACTGAATTCCTAAAGTGGCATCCTTGCTTTAGAGTAGTGGTTCTCAACCAGGGGTGATTTTGCCCCCCAGCGAACATATAACAATGTTTGGAGACATTTTTGGTTGTCACAACAATGAGAGGGAGGAACTACTGTCATTTAGTAGGTAGAGGCCAGGGATGCTGCTTAATATCCTACAATGAGCAGGACAGCCACCCCACAACAAAGAATCATCTGGCCCAAAATGTCAATAGTGCCAAGGTTAAGAAACCCTTATCCATCAACATAATCTAAGACATCACCAAGTTAACCTTTTGCCCAGAATTAAATTAATACTTAAAGCTGAGATATTAGTTAAACAACGACAATAAAGATAGCAGCCACCATTTATTATTGTATGCTTAACAGGCCAAAGCCAAACTAAGTGCTAGCCCTATAATACCTCATTTAATTCTTACAAAGATCTTGTGGGATATTATTATTCCCCATTTTGCAAAGATAGAGGCAGTAACTTGTCCACGGCTACATGACAACTAATAAAGCTCTTAGCACTACCACCACATTGTCACTTCCCAAACCAACAGCCATGTGTACAGCAGAGTTTAAAGACAACTTTAATGATAACATAGGGTCATGAGCTGAGGACACAGACCTTAAGATCTGGAGAGAGAGCATGCTGAGAGAGGCAGCTTTAAGAGCTGTCTTCACGAAAGTCTCTGGGGTGGGCATTAAGCACCCACTCTCTAGCTTCCAACTCCTTGGCACTTATCTTATGAGAGCCAAGGGGGCAGTAAAATGACAGACCGAACATGTTTTTTGATTGCTGAACTAAAAATAGGAAAATATTTGTAGAAGGAAATGGAGGCAAATCGACAAAGATAAATCGTGATAAATAAGCAACGTGCAATTCAGTGTCACATCTGTAAAGAGTCTCTGCCATCATCAACTGACTCCAGTGCCTTCATGGTACAATAGGAAAATACAGGCCTTGGGGAAAGGTGACCCGTTTAAGGTCATACAGCCATACCAATACCACTATGGGCTGAAAACCAGAGGAGCTTTCTCCAAAATGATAAGAGATTTTAGATTAGATTCGGAAAGGACTCATAGGTTTCTAACTCTCTAAAAATAGGCATTTTCTTACATAACTCAATGTCATTACCACACCTATCAAAATGAACAATAATTCCTTCAAACCATCCAATACCCAGTTCATTATCAAATTTCCTTGACTGTATCAAAATATCTTTTCAGACTTGGTTTGTCAAATCAGGATCCAAACAAGGGCCACACACACATTTATGTTACTTAAATTTCTTTTAATCTAGAGCGGTCTCTCTCCCTTTTTACCCTCACAACATTGACTTATTACAGAAACTAGGTCAGCTGGTTTATAAAATGTCCCACATTCTGGATTTGACTATTTACTCCCTCTTTTTGTCATTTACCTTACTCCTTTATCCCCCGTATTGGCTGTAAGTGAAAGTAGCTTTACAGATTCAAGTTTCACTTTTTTCAACAAGAATACTTCACAGGAGGTACTGTGTGCCTCACACTACGTGACATCGTGAGGCACATGTTGGCCTTGTCCCACTTTTAGTGATGCTATGATTATCAGAGGGTTGAAATGGCAACAGCCTAAGCCCTCCATCAACCTTTCATCTAAGGCTTTCAACTACTGATAATGGTTCCCCGAGTCAATTATTTCATAAGGGAGGATGCAAGTGGTGATTTGCTAATTCTACCGGCCCAACAACATTTATTGGCTGGAATTCTCCCCTCATCGACTAAGCCTATTTTGTTACTCTGATCTACAGTTCATATAGGAAAAGCAGAATAACTATTTGTTTCCTTTTACCATCTAATTTAAAAGCAGGATAACTATTTAATTCTTTCCTTTTACATTCTAATTTTCAGAATAAGAAGCTGGTGCTTTAGTTTTATAACCAATAGAATTTATTTACAACAAAATTTAACAGACACCAAAACCAAAATGTATTTTTTTTTTCCCTTTTTGTCTTTTTTCGTGTCCGGCAACGGACCGCAACCCTC